TACACCAGTTTTTAAAGACTGTTCCACTTCAAGAATAATAGTCATAATTTCTTCTTACCTGAGGAAGTTATGATCCCTGCTGCTGTAGGCTATCTGGTCTGTCTCCTCCCTGGCCTTGTTCTTTGAAACTGTGGCAATGAAGATTTATTTTAAATATGTGGAAAGCAGCCAGCATGACTTCTGCACAGAAATGAAAGACAACTGGGTTTATCTAGCATTAGCAAACTAGCTTGGCAAGGGATGTAACAGGTAACAACAACTAATCATGTTAACTAGCTAAACATTATATAATGTGTAACTCATCATTTAGCTAACATTATCTACCTCCAACAGCATGACTCAACTTACATGGTTTGTTTGGTAAAAACTGTGCCAAATTTTAGTTGCTCTTTTACACCGCGAGGCTCTGCTCAGCACAGCAGCTCCTATCCGTCAATCTCAACTGCAGGAGTAGCTTGCGCACGCTTATGGTGCGTTCAAAGACGGCTCAGAAAAACGCATTACCATATGTTAATAATGGAAAAAACAGCTGTTACGGCTAAAAAAAAGTGCGGGGACAGAGAGCGCAGATGCAGGAAGTGCGGGGAGACATGTCCACGCATATCCCGCATCCGTTGTGTGCCTCCGTGCCTTCACTGCCCAGGGCCCTTTGGAGACCGTGGGCCCCTGGGCAATTGCCCAATTGCCCATACGGTTAATCCGGCCTTGCCTGTTAGGCATTGTTCTGAATTCTCCACAGGTGCACCTGTAAGTACAATGTCAATCAGTGTGACTGTTGATAAAGATTTGACTTGTGAACTCTATATTATTATGCATGTTAATGAAAAATTATTAGAACCCTTGACACCTAWTGAGTTGCAATGATGACATGCAGCAATGCACTAAAAGTAATCAATACTTGCAGGTATGTGTAACTGACTGATACTGGGTAGTGTTTGGCTTGTGGTATGTACAATTTGAGTGACCAGATCACAAAAATATGAACGTGGGGGAAAAAATTTATGATGGTTTGTGGGACACATGACCACTGCATCAAAAATTTCTTTTATCTTTTTCTTTTATCTCACATTCATTACTCTCTGCTTTGTCTTTTTTTAAAGTTTATTTTTTATTATAATGATAAATATCACTAAAAAGCTAAACCAAGCAGGTACACAAGTTACACCTGGAAGCAGAGCAGCTGGCCTGGACTGCTGTTATGTAGCTGTTTGCTTTCATGTTGTGCACTCACATTCTGGGAAAGTAAAAATGAATTTTTTTATGACTATTGCTTTTCACTGACCTCTTTGTTTTCCTATATTTTTTTTACATTTTCCACTACAGTCTTCCATTACATTATTTATTTATTATAGTGGCAGCGCGCAGGAAGAAGAAGAGGACGTCAGAGAAGAATCATGGACTTAGTGAAGGACGACATGGAGATGGTTGCTGTAACAGTAGAGGCAGGTGATAGGGTGAGATGGCGGTAGATGACCTGCTGTGGCGATCTCTAAAGGGAGCAGCCGAAAAAACCGAAGTGACGGCACGCAGGACAACCTGCGGTGCCCGAGGCAGTGACTGACAGCTGACACTGTTTACATCAGTGTTTTTTTTTTTCTCTGCTTTATGCCCTTTTATCTTCTCTAAAGAGGCATTACCTAATGGTTGCAAATAGCAGCCACTAATAATTATTTATTCTCCCACTTTCTTTTTAGATAATTTTCCCTGTCAAACGTCAGACATTGTTTACTTACGAGACAACGGGATAGTGGAAAATAGAGTGAAAAATGTGTCAAATCTGGTCACCCTAGATGCAGTGCAGATGATGTCTGCTAGTTTAATCTGGGACTATTCTGACAAATATATGTGTTGGAAGGTGTCAAAATATGTTCTGTCCAATACTGTTTAGCCTAGCCTACTGATTGCATAACTTTGGGTATGCTAGCACGATATTTTGCTAACATCAATGGAATAAAAAACATATACCATTCTGATGCAGGCTGTGAAGAATGCCGACCGTCACAGTGGTCACTGTCTGGCTCAGAGTTTGAATCTGGCCCTTGTGGTTCAAATGAGTAGGGCTGGAGAACTCCAAGGCTGCCAGCCCTTCGCGAACATCTCCTCAGTACAGGACATGGACACAGTGACGCTCAGCGTGTGGGCGTGGTTTCAGCGCCTCCAGCTGACACGCCCCCAGTGGTTTCAGAACAGAGCCAATGATGTTTTTTCATTATTTTTGAGACTTAATTTTTTAAGTAAACAATGTTTTAAATCAGTCAAATTTAGAGGGGTGATTAATAACACATATTTCTGTTGTGTGACAAACTCAAAACACAAATTTAATTTTACTTTACACGGTCTTTAAATAGCATACTGAATATAAAACAAGTTTAAAGTGTATCTTACCCACCTGTGAAAAGATAACTCCGCCCCAAGGCGAAATTTGAAAAATGCATCAAAGTGGGTAGGGGAGGGGGAGGGGGTTAGAGAGTGGAGGTGTGGCCAGGACAAGAGAACGTGACAGCTAGCATTAGCATAATTGACGCTACATGGAGAGTGACCACAGCGACGCAGATAGTTACATCTCTAAACGGTCTGAGGTGGAGGATTTTTCACCCCCCTCCTCACCAGAGGCAGCTCAGTCTGGGACTGACTCGTGTTGGCTCCCTGGGTCAAGACCTTGAGCTCCAGCTCCAGCAGCCTCGGCTGAGCTATCCGCCTCACACCACACCAGCCTCGGACAGAGGAGGTGGAGCGCTCCGCGACAGCCTGACAGAAAAAATAAAAGCATACAGCTGCAGCTGCTCACAAGATCACTAGTTTAAATCAAGAATAAAAGTGTTGGGCCTTGTTTGACTGAAGTTCGGTCCGGTTCGGGCTGCAGCTGCCCTTCTTTCCCTCC